AAACTTCAATGGAAATAGCCTTTATATAGGTATACACAAAACATAAAATAAGGACCCACTAACCCACTTAATAATCCATTAAAATACTAACACCATGAACTAAATAACTGACCCACTAACATAATTAAACTACCCACTAATACGTAATTAAATAAACTACCCATCAATACAGTAGCTAACATTCCCTCAAACTCAAAACTTTCAAGTTTTAGTTTAGCCACTTTCGTCTTCCAGATCTTCCATAGTACACACGCCCATCAACTTCCTCAGATTTTGAAAGGAAAAAAACCTTAGAGGTTTAGTAAAGATGTCCGCGAGCTGCTCCTCGCTTCTGCAGAACTCCAGTTCAATTGTTCCATCACTGCAGAGATCTCTCAGATAATAATACTTCACTTCGATGTGCTTGCTTCTTCCATGTAGAACGGGATTCTTCGATAACTTGATGGCTGAATTGTTATCACAGAAAACCGTGGCAGCTTCTCCTTGCTTGAACTGAAGTACTTCAATAATTCTTCTCAACCAAATAGCTTGACAAGCACTAGCTGTAGCAGCAACAAATTCAGCTTCGGTACTCGACAAAGTAACAATTGGCTGTTTTTTAGAAGACCACGAAACAGCCCATGTACCTAACATAAAAATGTAACCCAAAGTGCTCTTCCTATCGTCTTGATCTCCTGCATAATCGCTGTCAGTAAAACCAAGCAAATTCGACTTTTCACCTCTCTTCTAGAATAATCCAAACTCCTTGGTGCCTTGCAAGTAACGAAGAATTCTCTTGGCCGCTAACATATGCATCTTAGTTGGATTCTCCATGTATCTATTTATGAGGCTCACAGAGTACATAATATCCGGTCTTCAAGCAGTTAAATACATTATACTGCCAACAATTTGCCTGTAAAGTGTGCTCTCCACCTTCTTTCCTTCAGGATCTTTGTTTAGCTTCAAGCCAAACTCAATTGGAGTACTCACGGGATTGCAATCCTTCATCCGAAACCTATCCAACATATCTCGCACATATTTCTTTTGAAATATAAAAACTCCACTATCACATTGCACTACCTCTATGCCAAGAAAATAATGCATCTTACCAAGATCAGACATTTCAAACTCATCCATCATAGATTTCTTGAATTCTTTAAACATGATATCACAATTTCCAGTAAATATGAGATCATCGAGATACAAGCAGACAATTAGCATTTCTCTTTTTTCTCCAACTTTAACAAATAAAGTATGCTCGTAAGGACATTTTTGAAAACCAGCCTTAAGAAAATAAGCCTCAATGCGACTATACCAAGCTCGTGGAGCATGTTTAAGTCCATAAAGAGCTTTTTTTAATCGATAGACTTTATGCTCATTATTAACCATAACATAACCAGGGGTTGATCGACAAATACCTTCTCCTTCAAGTTTCCATGCAAAAATGCCGATTTGACATGAAGCTGAAATATAGGCGAAAAATTTTGCGCCGCTAATGCAATCACCATTCTGATCGTGTCATGCCTTGCAACTAGGGCAAACACCTCTGTGTAATCAACTCCATATTCTTGCTTGTATCCCTTAGCAACCAATTGCGCCTTAGAGCATCTCCGACCGGTTTCACCATTTTTTCATCAAATCCCATTTTTTGTGGTGAAAAAATGGGCTCATCTCCCACCGGTAGCACACCATTTTACCTTTTCACCATTTTTTGTGGAAAAATGGTGTTTTTGGTCTCCAATGGGTTTCACCAAAATTTAGACCAAATATTAAAATAATAATATTTCACCATTTCACCACTTATAGAAAATGGGATTTGGTTTGGTCTCCCATGTCATTTCACCATATATACCCCAAATTTATAAATCTAATGTTAATCGTAATTTTATTATATTTTATTTCATAAATATTAATTATAAATCCAATGTTAAGTAATTATGTTTTTTAACAACATAATTTAAAATTTATGTTATCAATTTTAAAAATTATGTTTACAATTTAAATGTCTTGTCCTGTATTTCATCAACTAAAGTGTGTTTCGTTAATCATTCTATTGTTGCTTGTTATGTTTTATTAATAGCAATTAGCGTATTGATTAAGTAAATAAATGAATTAATCAACACTGATAAAAAAATATACAAATTAATTAAAAATAAGCATATTTATATTATTAGAATTAATGTTTTTATTAATAATAACAAATGTATTTATATTTTAAAATTTAATTTAGTAATTAACACCAATGTATTTACTAGGGGTGGTAAACGAGCCGAGCCGACTCGTAAGCTCGATGAGCCGGCTCGAGAGAAACTCGAACTCGAGTTTTTCGAGCTCGAGCTCGAGCTTTAGCCAGTTTTTAGTTATTCGTGAGCTCACGAGCCGGCACGTGAGCCTTATTTATTATTATAATTATTATTTTTTTATATATTATTTTTTATTTAAATAATGTATAATAATATCAAATATCATAGAAATAAATAAAAATAAAATGTATATATATTAAACAATATATATAATTATAACTTATTGTTTATTTTGTAAAAAAATTTAAATAATTTTTAAAAATAATAAAATAGTAATTAAAAAAATATTAAAACAAAAACCTACAAAATAAGCTTAGGCTCGAGCTCGAGCTCGACAAAATGGCTCGAGCTCGAGCCTAAAAAAAATGAACTCAACGAGCTCGAGCTCGAGCCTGCCAAAAGAGGCGAGATCGGCTCGTGCACACCCCTAATATTTATGATAAATATGCTAGTAAGTTGGTAATCATGTGCAATTAGTACTCGTCATTTTATATGCTACTTAACAAAATGGTGTTAATTACACCAAATCATATTTTCACCTCTATATTTGGTAGGAAAAATAGGATTTGGTGGAAAAAAAAATAGGAAAATGGTGGATCGGTGGGAGATGATAATTTATTCACCAAATAAATTGGTGAAAAAATAGGATTTGAGTATATGGTGATATGGGGTTTGACCACGGTGGGAGGCTAAAACAAAATCTCTATAATTTTAGGTGTAATGGTGATATAGAAATTTCGGGTGGGAGGCTAAAAACACCTAAATTAGATGAAATGGCGATATAGTGACCGGTCTGAGATGCCCTTATACTTGTCAACCTCACCATTTTCTTTGAGCTTCGTCTTAAAAACCCATTTTACACCAATGGTTTTCTGCCCTTCTGGAAGATCAGTCAGCTCCCATGTACCATTCCTTTCGATAGCTTCAATTTCAGCATCCATTGCTTGCTGCCATTTTATTTCTTTGATGGCACTTTCAAAGGTTGGATCACAATCTGCAAATAATGCCAAATGAGTAATTGCATCATCATATATATCAAATCCCGTTACCTCATAATCTTCCATCCATGCAGGCCTTCTCCGAATTCGCCGACAAGAATCGGCATTGGAACCACTCTCTTCTTCTGGCGAGATTTCAGCAGCTACAGGAGTATCATTTCCTGAATTGTCGAGCATCGGCGATGTTTCTTCAACATCATTATCACATAGAACTTGAGTAGGTTGCTGCATATCCCAATCCCAAGTCCTTTCTTCATCAAAGAGTACATCTCGGCTGATTACAATCTTCTTTGTCGTTGGATTGAACAATTTGTACGCCTTTGATGTTTCACTAACGCCTAGAAAGACACACTTCTCACCTTTATCATCAAGATTCTTTCTCTTCTCATCTGGGACATGCGCATATGCAATGCAACCGAAAATTCGGAAATGATCAACACACGGTTTCCTTCCACTCCAGGCCTCCTCCGGTGTCACATCTCGAACAGCAAAGTAGGGCTTCTGTTCAAGATGTGAACGCTCCAATTTACAGCTTCGGGCCACGAAATCCTTCCTTTTGCAAGCTTCGAACCATATTGACGATAGTTCTATTTTTCCTCTCTGATACGCCATTTGGTTGTGGTGTGGAAGCAGTTGTGAGCTCTCTTCTAATGCGTCGAGATTCACAAAAAATACCAAAGTCTGTAGAGCAATACTCACCACCACGATCAGTTCGAAGAGTTTTGATCATTTCTCCCGTCTCAGTTTCCACTCGAGCCTTAAAGCTTTTAAATGCACTAAAAGTTTCAGATTTTTCCTGTAAAAAGTAAACCCAAGTTTCTCGGGAAAAATCATCAATGAAGGTAATTAAGTATCTTTTACCTCCATTCGAAATTGGTTTCAACAGCGAACAAATGTCAGAATGAACCAACTCCAAAATTCTATTCGCCCTCCATGACTTCCCTTTAGGAAATTGGGAATGATGTTGTTTGCCAACAATACATTCTTCACAAATTTGAGAAGGAGCTGAGATTTGGGGAAGACCAGTTACCATATTCTTTTATCGAAGAGTTTATAATCCCCCAAAACTCAAGTGACCATATCGAAAGTGCCACAACCAAGAAGAATCTTTCACTTCGACCATCAAGCAAGTGTGAAGAGTCTCAATCTTCAAAGGGAATAACCTGTTTGAACTCATTTGAACAATAGCAATAGCTCGTCTCTTCGGATCATAATTTTTTCAAGCACCATTCTGAATAGTAATAACATAACCCTTTTCTTGCAATTGACCAGCACTTAACAAATTATTTTTCAAGTCTGGAACATACAAGACATTAGAGATTGTTTCCACATAACCATTCTTGGTTCGTATCACATCACCTTTTCCCATCACATTCATAGTAGAGAAATCTCCAAAATTGATAGTAGAATGAAAATCTTCATTTAAACGAGTAAAAGAAGACTTACTTCCACTCATGTGGTTGCTGCAGCTCGTATCCACATACCAAACACTCGGCTCCGGTTCTTTTTCACTTTGAACCGCCATTAACAAAGTTTCTCCTCTTTGTTTTCAACAAAATTTGACTTCTCTTCCTTGTTAATAGGCATCCTGGTATAACATTCCGAGCGGTAATGACCAAATTTATGACATCTAAAGCACTCGACTTTAGACTTGTCACCGTCTCGGCCGTTTCCTTTACTGTGAAACTGATCATTGTTTGCTCTGACGTTCATATTACCTCTACCGCCTCGATCTCCTCTTCCTCCTCCATATATTCCACCTCGATCTCCCCTTAATTCCTCTACCTCTACCCCTTCCTCTATAACTAGAGAAATGAGTATTAGCAGAAGCCTTTAGGGCCTTCTCCTCTACTGTTGAACCTCGGTTCATCTTTTGCTTATGGACCAACAATGAACTTTGCAATTCATCGAGAGAAAGTGCATCTATGTTCTTTGATTCTTCAATGGAACATACAACATAATCATATTTTGGTGTTAGGGAACGCAATATCTTCTCCACGATGGTGACATCTCCCATCTTCTCGCCATGGAAACGCATTTTGTTGCTAATCTCCATAGTTCTAGCACAAACGCTAGTGACTGATTCTCCATCTTTCATCTGAAGTGTTTCAAAATCCCTTATCAAGGCTTGAAGTTGTGCACGCTTCACCCTCGTCGAGCCTTCATATTTCTTCTTCATAGAATCCCAAATATCTTTGGAAGTTTCTTTGCAAAGAATAGTTTCCAAGATGGGACGATCAATCGCTTGAAAGAGATAATTTTTCGCCTTTAAATCCTCCAGCCGTCTCGCTTCCAAGTCTGTTTTTTCAACTTTCGTCCAGGTTTCGACATTTTCAGGTTCTCCAACACCAGTTTCTACGATTGGCCAATATTCTTTGGATCGCAGAAAATTCTCCATCAACATGCTCCAGTGGTCGTAATGACCGTCAAAATATGGAATGGCTGCCTGCACAAAGTTATTTTCTAAACCCATGGATGATAAAGCTACAGCTTTTTCAAATGAAGTATCTCACGTATTTTTATCTTTTTCTGTTTCCCTCGCCTTATTTTTCTCTCTTTTTGTTTCTCTCACCTTTCTTTTCTCTCTTTCTATTGGAACAACTCTCACTCAATTTTTTTTTTTAATTTTAGGACCTCACTCGATGATACCACTGATAGTAAATAAAGATGATAATAATGATGAAAAACAAAGAGATGAAGGGAACTACTGCAATATATTTTAAACTTCAATCGAAATAGTCTTTATACAGGCATACACAAAACATAAAATAAGGACCTACTAACACACTTAATAATCCACTAAAACACTAACACCATGAATTAAATAACTGACCCACTAACATAATTAAACTACCCACTAATACGTAATTAAATAACTACCCACTAAGAGCAACTCCAATGGGAGGTACCAAAATGAATCATCAAATACTAAATTGATGCTTGATATAATACTTTAATACCTCTATAAAAGTTATGCATTCCAACCCAAAGTATCAAATAAAGTATTATTTTCAAAATAAAATGATTAAACGCTAATTAAATTAATTCAACTACTTTCTAGTATATTGTTAGAGCATCTCCAATGGGGAGATATCAAAATGGAGCATTAAATATTCATTTGATACTTGATATAATACTTTGATACTTCTTGAAAAAAAATTCACTCCAACCACGAGCATCAAATAGATTATCAAATTTTAAATATATGAATAATTATTTTTTTAAATGCCACGTGTCAAATTGTGATAGGTTAATGGAGTGGTTATATTTTTGATACCTCATTTTCCAGGGAGTATTTTTGCACCTCGGGGTAGTTGAGTATCAAAATAATTCTCCATTTAATGCCTCCATTGGAGAAGAATTTTTTAATTTTAGAGCATCAAAGTGATAGTTTTTTAGTTTGATACCTCATTTAGTGCCTCCATTGGAGTTGCATGAAAACTAGGAGAAGTTTGTTACGTCACCCCCAAACCTTGTGAATGTATTTGAAAATGGGAGAATACTATGATATATATTATATTGTTATCATATTTATTATATTGTATTTGTTATCATATTTATTTTACAATATACAAAAATTACAAAATCAATAATCAAATAATTTAATTATGTAGTCAGACGATAAAAAGACAATTTTTTTGTTTAAAATTATATTCCAAAAGAAAACACAATCACAACAAAGATTACCAATCAATTATGGATTTTCGTAAACAATTAAAAAAATTAAAACTTTTGTGTGTGGTGAGGCTAACTTTTTCTTGCAAAACTAGTTCTTCTACTTTTAAATTGCGTACACAGCAGAAAATAGGGGTGGGTTTGGTAGGGCAGCCGTACCAAATCCCTCGAATCACTACCATTACCGAAATTTCGGTATTATGAAATTCATTACCATTGCCCTACCAAATACTTTGGTATACCGATTTCGGCATACCAAAATTTCGGTACGGTAGGGTATGGCAATGGTAATTACCAATCTATATTATCTACTATTTAAATCTAAATTCAATATCATTTTTTTCAAAACCATTCAAGGTATATACATGTTTAAAATATTCAAACTAGTATTTATGATATAAGTATTCTATATATATGTTCTTAATTTACCTAATATGAAATATTTCGTAAATACAATTATAAAATAATTTTTTTTTAACATCAATTATATCATTATTAATGAAAGCAATTTAAAATATTTTTGAAATACATAAAGAGTATAATTAATTTTAACTCATGGTAGTTGGTTAGGATACTATATTAACTTTTTATATATAATAAATTAATTATTAAAATAAAATTTTATTTATTAATAATATTTCGGTACGGTAGGGCAATACCATTGTAATACTATTGAGTGCCGTTGCCCTACCAAAATATTTCGGTAGGGTACGGTAGGGTACGGTAATAATTCGGTAGAAATATTTCGGTAGAAAATCGGTAGGGCTAGGTAGGGCAACGGGTTGGTAGGGCAATTTGGTAAAAAAACCCACCCCTAGCAGAAAAGGTATTTCTTTGCATCTAGTTTTTATACATCAGAAAAGTATTTCAATAAATATACGTATCCCTTTTCTTTGGAAATTTATTGAGATTTATTTTTTTTCCGTTGAAATTGCGGTTGAGATTTTTCAGGATTATTTGATACCTTTTTTTGGGGTGCATTTGTGCACCTCATTGAAGCGAAGTATCAAAAAAAAAGAGTACTTTGATACCTCCGTTGGAGAGGAATTTTTGAGATTTGGAGTATCAAAATGATAGTTTTACCATTTGATACTCCATTTAATTCCCCCGTTGGAGTTGCTCTAATACAGTAGCTAATAGGTGATACAGACAGACCAATCTCATGTAGGGACTTTGAGAATTCACTTCATAAAAATAATTTCCAACTTTTCTTTATTATATATGGTCGGTTCGTAGTCCATTTCAGGTGTTCAGGCAAAAAAAGAACAAACTTCCCAATGTGCTTCACATTGCAAATTATCTTTGTCCGGAAAAAAACAAGTTGAATGAAATTTCCACTCAAATGGTCCACTTCCCATGTGAATCACCTAATAAAATATCACAAATTGTTATTTTCTTCTTTTTTTTTCTTTTTTTTTTTTTATGGTTGTAATGACTTCAAGAAGAACATAGTAATCCTCCACGAGCAAAATTTTCATGTGCTCAATTATTGATTAATGATAATATCTCCCATTAATCCAAGAAACAATATTGACCATTTTCTCACCATTGTCATACATAATTGCAATTATATATATAAAGCGAGTAAAACGACGTATGTACCGATTAATCGAAGATGAGTACATGCGTATCATCTAGTTGGAATATGCCTATGGATAATTCTGCTGATGCAGTTTCAAAAGTTCAATGCTACTTCCACCAATATTCTTGTCCCTATAAGAGAATTACCACTCATCTCACCATCTTCTCAACCTCTAAATCGTTTACAATTAACGGAAAAATTCATCGACAAACGAACGCAGCTGCAGAGAATAAAGGCCATGTTTCGATCACAGTTAAAAAACCTCTATGGGAGAAACTTCTGCCGAGATCAAAGAAACTCAGGAGTATAATCTTGCTTAACGCCATCGCTGTCATTTACGGTATATATTCGTTTCTTGTATATTTTTGTAAGTTTATTTTCTCAATTTAATCGTTTTTTTTCTTGTATTCGGTTTCAGTCTAGCATAGTTTTGTTGTTTCGTATAAATATGTAGTTGCAATTTGAATGTGATTAATTTCTTGTATTGCATTATTATTTATTTCTTAGTAACTGCAATCGTGTGTCCTATTTAATTAATTAATTGCGTCTGATTTTATATGTTGCAGCAAGTGACATTGCGGTGATAAAAGAGGTTGAAGCTTTCACCGATCCAGCATACTTCTCTGCCGTCCGATTTGCTGTGTCGGCTATTCCATTTTTGCCCTTCATCTTTCAGGCGAGGAACGATACTCAGACGCGTAATTCAGGGTTAGAGTTGGGATTATGGATTAGTTTAGGTTATCTAAGCGAAGCACTCGGGCTTCTCACGGCTGATGCTGGCCGTGCTTCGTTTATTTCCTTGATCACCGTAAGTATTTTAGTGATTGTTGTGTTGATCGTAATATTATTGTGATTGGATGAGATAAAACAATCAATAAATTTATTAGTTTCCCCGTTTGGTTGCCAAGATAAGCAACGATTAACTAAATAGTTAGACTTAATTTGATGTTTGGTATCCCAAATAAATTGCCGGGTCGACCCGCCAAAATTATGTAATCATGGCTTATACCTTGCCTTATCTTGGCTTATCTTGCCTTCTAGTGTGTTTCTTTTGTTGGACGTCGCGAGCTCTAATAAAATAATTGGGTTTCATTAGACTATTTAATCTTATCTTGGTTAATCTTATATTGCCAACCAAACGGGGCCTAAGTGTAAAATAACGTTGTCTAAAAACGGACAGGTTATTATAATTCCGATGCTTGAAAGCATGTTGGGAGAAATTGTACCTGCTCGGACGTGGTTTGGTGTTCTCATGTCTGTTCTTGGGATTTCTATGCTCGAATGCAGCGGATCGCCTCCTAACGTAAGAACCGTTTTCTTTCTTTAAAATTGGTTCAAGAACTAAGCATTTAAAATTTATTGTCAGACGAATCAATCCAAACAAAGTTCAACGAATTGGTTAACAATAGATTATATTAAGATTCTTAATGCATTTTGTTTTATCTCCTTCAGATTGGTGATCTGTTCAATTTTATAAGTGCAATATTCTTCGGCATTCATACACTTCGAACGGAGCATATATCGAGGACAATAAGAAAAGAGAACTTCTTGGCACTTCTTGGATACGAGGTTAATTAATTTATGTTTAGATATACGATTGCCTAAACTCATTTGTCTTGTGTAGTTTGAATAATATCCGATTCATGAGCCATAACAATGATATATAATAATGGATTTAGGTTGGCGTAGTTGCTCTTATTTCGACAATATGGTGCCTAACGACAGCAAATCTCGATGAGATTCGAGAGATATCTTGGACGTGGGCCCGGTTTTCGGATTGGATGCTTGAATTTCCGTGGGTGCCAGCACTTTATACCGGTGTATTCTCAACTGGTTTTTGCTTGTGGGCAGAGGTATATTCTAAATCATTCTAAGTTTGCATTCGGATATAAGAATTTCAAATCCATAATAATAAAACGAGTGATCGTGTTTGAATGGATTCATTCGATAGCGATTTTCAAATCCTTAGCTCTAATTTTTAAGTTATTTTTTGCTTCTTTTATTCTTTCTAGTGTATTCCACCATTTAGAATGATTCCAAATCCTTCGATTTTGGAATCATTCTACAATTTTACTGCATTCAACACCCCTGTATTTAGTCTAGTTGTTAAAAAGTTTCTCGTATTATAAATATTAGCAAAGCTTCCGTGATGCAATTGTTTCAGCAAACTAACCCCCTAAAAATTTCACAATGTAGGGGGTTGTGTGCTACAAAAATTGCATCATATGTTGTTTTTGCTAATATTTAAAACACGGGGAGTTTTTTAACAATTCAGTATACACAAGGGTTTCAAATGCAATAAACTCGTACTAATAGGAGTGAACCTAAGTAGTATACATATACTTTGTGAAAGGTAGCTGCAATGCGCGAAGTCTCGGCGACAGAAACAGCAGTAATCTACGGGCTGGAGCCGTTGTGGGGTGCCGGTTTTGCTTGGTTTCTCTTAGGTGAAAGATGGGAACTTGCTGGATGGATTGGCGCTGCATTAATATTGGGTATTTTATTTATTTTATTTTATTTTTGTTTGTATTTTTCCATATTTTGTTCATGCATATGCAAATAATCACTACCTAAAGAAAATTTAAGGATAAAAACGTCGAATTTTTAGGTACACCTCTTTTTTAAAATGCATATCATCAAAGTGTTTAGAGAATCCAGTGACGATATCCTAATTAATACCGGGATATGACACCTTTAACGTACTTAATTGTGACGAATAAACGTAATTCCAGGTGGAAGCCTAACAGTGCAAATGGTCGGAGGTTCGGGCGGTGAATCTGCCGGAGATGGTAATAGAAAAGAAAATAAATCACTAATTAAAAAATCATCACATGAAAAGGAGAAGCTGTCAGCTTCTCCTGTGAGGGTGACATCTTTTAGAGACAACTTGATGGATATATTCAAGTAATTAACACATCTCTCAAGTTCAAATTGCCAAGTAAATACTATAGAACTTAGTGTATATATAGTCTTACACAGACCTTCATTGGTATGGTATACATGTATACTTCTTTTGCTTTTATGCTAGAAGCAGCTAATATAGTTATTCTTGTAAATTATAATGGAATAGTTTGATATTAGAATAATAAAATTTTATGGATTTAAACTTTGTTTTATTTCTTTTGCTCCTTTGAATATAAGTGTGTGTAAATGTACTTAGTTGAGAATCGAAGATGGTAGACAATCCTTGGCCCAAATTTGTAAATCAAGAGAAAAAACATTGTTCGATGTATTTCAACAGGAGTCAGAGTCTAGGAGACTGCATGATTTACACGTGTTTATACATTTTCATCCGATGTAACATCTATCAGACCCTTAGGTAATCAAGAAAAATTGCGCTCTCTCTCTCTCTCTCACACACACGCAAAAGATGTCGCAACTGCAAGTATATACACTACAAGAAAAAAGGATATTAGTGATACCATATTTGCGACAGTATCAAATATTTTGTATTTTCTCACTATTAGATCATTTTGTTGTCGCCTAAACCTTTTTATTGTCATTATAAGAAGTGACAATCAGTTCTTCATTGTCACTGTAGAAAACTAGTGATACCTATCGTCACTAAAGAGTGACAATATTTTGTATTCTATCATTAATAGATCATTTTGTTATCACTTAAACCCTTTTATCGTCAATACAACAAGTGACAATCAAATTTTTGTCACCTATAGAGAATTACTGATATCCCATAAAAGAGTGACAATATTTTATATCATGTCACTAGTATATCATTTTGTTGTCACTTAGACCTTTTTATTCTCACTACAGAGATATAGTTATACACATTAGTTAGTGATATCCCATTAGTGACAATCAGAGTGATAACATTTTGTGCCTAATCATGTGAATATAGTCACTAAAACAATTATTTCTTGTAGACTTGTAGTGATAGTTGCTTGTATGGTAGATTAAAGTGCCTTGTCTAATCAAACCAAGTAAACATCTAAACCAGATTGCAAGATAACTTCATCCTCACATATTATTACATAAATCATAGAAAATCCATTGTCGTCCAATCACTTAACAGATTTTATTACAAACACAAACAAAAGCCCATTTATTACTAACTTCAAACAAACACATAGAAAGAGGAGAGCTTCACTGGTAAAAACAACTTGCAATAGTTTTCACATTTTCTTGGCAATAAACAAACCCCACCTCTGCTCTCCAGACGAAGTCCTCACGAGCTTCGATTTCCAACCTCCAACTATATCATCGTAGTCTTCCTACATTATCCAAACCAAACATTCGTTCCACCGTAAGAAAAAAATAATAATACCAAAAAAAAAGATGAGAAACGGGTTTTTTTTAAGGAATAGACGGAGAAGAAAAGAAAAGCATGTACTTGAGAGAAGTCCCTTATGAAAGTTTCCTTGTCTTTCTCAACTGCATTCAATTCCTTCTCGAGAACCGTCATGAACTGAGAATCGAGAACAAAAACACAGTATCAGCTATAATACGCCATTCACTGAAATTTATAAGACAGAAAATGTACGGTCGAAAAGTACCTGATTAGTGCGATCCTCGGCAATGACATCATCAAAGCCAGCATCACGAAGCATCTATAACCACATAAGGGTAAAAATGTCATTTCCTGAGTTTAGACCAAGTATTTTCCAAACTCGAGGGGGTTTAGGTGCAATTAGACCTAAATTCAGGGGCGGGCGGTGTAATTTAATCTATTCGAAACGTACCTGGCCGTAAGCCTCTACATCGTGTAGATCATATCCCCTTTGTTTGATGTACTCGGTAAAATCAGCAGAAGAGGCACCGGCATTTTTGCAATAATCACTGATAAGGACTTTGCCACCTGGCTTCAGCCACTTGTAGAACGATCTGAACAGTGCAGGTTTGTCCTGAAAATAAGACCGTAATTCGTATATTATAAGACGTCGAAAAAATCATTAAATGAATACTCCAAAGTTTAAACTGAAATTTGTGTTATGCACTAGCTTATACGAAACATTAGGCGAGAAAACTTACTTGAATGTGAAGAATAGTGTCGCGACTGTATATAACATCAAAAGTACCGTCGGGGTAGTCCTTTTTGGTACAGTCAGCGACTTCAAATTCAACGGCACATTTGAGACCAATTGCACGTTCGAGTGCAAAAGAAATCATATTAATTGATAAGTCGATTCCAACGACATGAACATCGTACTTTTCCGCCATGTAGAAATCACCTCCACCGATTCCGCACCCGACGTCTAGAACTTTCTGCCCAGCTTCAAGCTCCAGTTTATCCACAAATTCTCTTGTCGTATCTGCTCGTTTAATCGGAATTTATAAGCCGTTAAAAAAAAATTAATTCCGATTTAAATACTCGTAATAAAACATCCAATGATTCAATAAATAAATAATTAATTAAAACAAACCTAATCCTCCAGTGCTGACATATCCCTCTCCAAAGACACGCTCGTAGCGCAATATTCCGCTACGTTTGTATTGGACAGTGTCTAGAAACTTCTGGAAACCTCTGTCGTCGTCTGATGTCACCTTCTGCCAAACCCAGCAAATCTGTACACCACAAAAAAAAAAAAAAAAAAAAAAAATAGGATGAACATTTTACGAAGGATTTTTTAATACGTGACGGGTTACAATGTATGATGGGAAAAACATATAGAATGAAAATTATGAGTGCATTTATTTTACCTGATTCTGATTCTTTTTGTTACGTACATATGCTCCGACGCACTTCCAACCAATAAGAGCGAGTTCGAACGAACTTCCAGAACTATCATTCGAGTGACATTCTTTAAACACCTGCAAGTAGATAAACTCAATAAGCTTAATCAACGAGTAAAATTCTGTCGTGAATATAAAAATTACTTAGTAAAATTTAAGTTGTATCACATAAACATGTCCCCATTCAATTTTACTTATATAGTAATTGAATTATAAATTAAAAAAAATAAAAATTAAACCTCTATAAATTAATACAGCCAGGAGTAGGGAAATTCTATTAATTTAGCGAATTATTATATTATCGAATTAATAATTGAATACGTTTTCACCGAGTCCGGACCGAGAGAAACTATTATTTAATCGAGGTTATTAATTTATCGAGTATTAAGTTATCGAGGTTCTACTGTATGTAAGGGTAGAAACCTTTGTATAAAAGCTTGGCTCACGGTAATGAGTAGGGTTACTCTTTCGTTTGTGATCGCCCGATTGGTGGAAACACGATTCTCTGAAGAATATGTAGCCACCAACTTTCAACCATTTCACCATTCTCTGTGCAAGCTTCTCCACCTGCAAAATAAACGGACCAATTTAAAAAATTAAACCATCACAATAGAATAATAAACACGAAAATTCAATTTAAAAAAAAATTAAATAGAAGAAAAGAAAACCGAACCTCTGCATCGGAGAGATACATCAAAAGCCAGTTTGAAAAAATCATGTCTAGAGATCCTTCGGGGAAGTTCAAGTCCGGGGATGTGACATCAGCACACATGAATTCCACGTTTTTATGATGTTTGTTAATGGCTTCATTCTGTAACACAAAAAAAATTCATATAGGCTTTTAAATTCGTAGAACTGGCATATAACCTTATTTAATTAAATTACGTAAGATAAATGTATCGGAGTAGAAAACGAACCTTCTTGATTACGCTCTCGATGAAGTCCAAAGCAGTAACATGGCCAGCTTTTTTAGCCAATTCACCGGTGAAACGGCCAATACCAGCTCCAAGTTCGAGGATTGACTTTCCTTCATATGGTGGGAGCATAGCCAGTACCTAAATATCCGAACATACCTCACAGAATCAATGAAACAACTATAGTACGCGAAATCGTCAACTATTAGTCCTAATCAAATTTATTAAACACTGAAAACGACATTGACAAAATGAGGAGACCGAATGTACACAAAGCATAAGTAAATCAAAGTTATTTGACACAATCTTATTTCTTTATCTAAAGCCTCAAATCAACTCCTAATTAAGTAAAGATACTCAAATTCACATAAGATCCAAAAAGGGTACGATCCAGATAGAAACTTAGTTTAATCACGAAAAATAAATAATAACGAAAAATAAAAAAATTACTGTGGTAAAAAAAATAGCAAAAAAAAAACTGTTCTTTTAATTTACCCACATCAAAATCCTACAAAGAAAAAGCAATAAAAATATTAAAAAAAAAAAAAAACAAAAAAAAAAGATCCCATCTTTAAGCATGACCATCAGTTGTCAAGAATATATCACCAATAAGATCCCCACTTTGGATCAACATCACTTATCAAGACAGTAATTATTAACAGATTAAGGCCTTGTTTGGATGCCAAGATAAGATTAACCAAGAAAATAAAAAATTGCAATCTTTTGTGGAGAACCAATTTAATAATTGGAATAGGGGATGTTCAATAATCAATAATACACCTAACACAAAAAATCATAAGGACTCATTTTTTTTTTAAATCTTAAATCGGGTCAGCCCGAAAAGTTATTGGACTGGCCAAAAATCACCTGAGTTTTGAATTAATCATGACTTATCTTACAAACCAAACAAGACTGTACGGTAGCAAATAAACATGAATAAAAACACTGTAGGATCATCTAATGAAAAAAATGAAGACACAAAATTCAGATTCGAATCTTGTTGATATGTATGTATATATATATATATATAGATATACCTCAGGCCTCTCTTCTTTGTCGAGATCAGAGGCTTTGGAATCGAGCATCATGTCTTCCAAAGTAAGGTTGACGGAATGCTCAACCCAGTAATTCTTCTGAACCTCACGCTCTTGCTCTGCATAATCCAATCCACATTATATAAATCAACAAAAATGGCAGCATTGCATTGATTAATGAGTGTTTTGAGTTTTAGCGTACCTGTAATGGCGGCCATGGCGATGGATGGATGAATGAGGTGGTATTGGGTTATGGGTTGGTAAAGAAGAAGAAGATGGGATTTGTGTGTGTCTGAATTTATTTATTTAAGAAAGAGAAGAGTAATTAAGAACCCTCAACGGCAATGCGGGATCTGAAAAATGTCCTGGATCTTCTATTACAAGATCTCCCCTTTTGTTGCATTTACCTGTGCTGTGTGGTTTGGTTTATTATTTCTCAAGGAGAAGTGGTTTATTTATAGGGGGCGTCTGATATTTTAATTAATTCAGTGACTATTAATAAAATTGAAGAAAAAAAAATGGTGGGATTTAGATTTCTGATGATGGGCGTGCTTTGTGTGAAAGACGAGAGCCTGGCTATGGATGCGGGGGTGGTGAGGGGATGCGGCGGGGGGGTGGGGGTGGGGGTGGGGGTGAATCATTGATAACCAATGAGAGAGTATGATTGCAGGAATGGGGCCAGTACCACGTGAAGCTACTACTACTACTACTATAATAACAGATTCTCTTTTTTTTTTTTTTTTTTTGATGAATAATAATAAGAGATTCTTTACTACTATTTTCAATGTGTTTTGTTATTTCTTTCTCCTGTGGTTGGTATCAAACCAATAATTGGTTCTATACTTTTATTTTAAAAATGTTAATTAATAAATTAAAAGTAATTAGTTAGATCTTAGATGTTATTATAGGGCAATTTGACGAGTACAACCCCAAACATTTAATAGTTTGGCGTGTACACGCTCTCTCCATCTAATTTTTGGTTAGTTTTTTGTTATGATGCACGGAAACTTCAACTCACACGCGTTTCCACGTTTTGGAAATCGAAACTCCATGACACCTGCTAGAAACGTTTTTAGGCCGTTTCCGTAAATATTTAAAAGTTTTGGGGATGTTTCTGATAATAATGAAAAATTGGAAATGCGTTTCCACACAAAATAATTTCAAATTTCATTTTAAATAGTATGTCTCCATTTCACTTCTAATGGTGCTTTAATATTTGGGGTTTTTATGCATAGATCCCTAACCAAGTATCTTTATTATTCTAGGTTTAGGGGTATATCTCTTTTACCAATAAACCCATCTCTTTAATATTTATTATAAATAAAAGAAACATTCATGTATATGACAATATTACCCCCAACCCTTTATACCCAATTCTTAATTGTAACCCCAATTTAATCAATTTTGTCCACAAAAATCCAATTTTGACTTTTTCTTTTCAAAAAAAAAAAAATTGTTGCAGGATTCCGGCGTTGACTTTTTGATTTTTTTTTTCTTCCGGATTTTTTCGCCGGTTTCCGGCGTTGACTTTTTTTTTTTTTTTTTTACGTCTGCCGCTAAACGTTGACTGTAATTGTGCTGTCACTGACAGTAAATTAACGTAATTGAACTGCCGTTGACAATACATTTATGTAATTGTTCTGTCGTTGAAAGTAAATTAACGTAATATTATTATTATTTTTTTGTTATTTTTTTTTTAATTTTGTTTAATTTGTTGACAAGTCAACGTAATTGTATTACTGTCCTTGACAGTAAAATAACTATAAACACAATAATATTACTATCAACCACATCAATATTATTATTTTTTTGGGTTTTTTGTTTTGTTTGAATTATTCACGGAGTAACGTAATAATATTACTGTCTATTATTGTAATATTACTGTAAACACAATAATATTACTGTGGTTGACGGTAATATTACTGTTGTTATAGTAATATTGTTGTCAACCACATCAATATTATTATT